AGAATTTCTAGATCTGGCATGATTTGTCGTTTTTTCTCCAAACCGTTTGAAATGAAAGACCCAGAATGACATCAAACAACAATACCCTGCTCAATCAGACTTGTGGGTGCATTGGGGTTGCACATTTTGCTGGGAGAGTTTGTTGATGTTGATTTCAAGCGAAGTCGTTTTACAATGAAATCGAACGAATCCGAATCAGAGGTTGTCTATTCTGATCCAGCGATCGACATGTCTCAGTCCAATGGTTGTCTATTCTGATCCAGCAATCGACATGTCTCAGTCCAATCACCTTAGACGTAGAGAGGGGGGGGGGTGGGGGGCGTCAGGCTGTCGAAAAATCCGCGCGGAGATGCAAACCGTAGGTTGAAACCAACGCAAGCAATACTAACCAAAACAATCCACAAAACACGCCGGCAGGCCGGCGGATTTTGTTTGAGATCGTTTCACCCCAGCTTCGTCGCCGCGCTCCCGGAAAAATCACCTGCGGATTTCATTCGGCGTTTCTTCAATCATCTCACTTTTTGGGGTTTCTTTTTGCTCAGATGCGCCAACGTGTCGGCACGGTCGGATGTCTCATTTTCTTTGCAGTTTTGCGAGTTGCAAAAACTAAACCTGATTTCACTGCAGCTGTGACTATCCGATTCCGAACCTTTCTATCCTTTTCACTCCTGCAGCAACGCTCCATGGCCTACACCCGCACCTCAGCCGATGGGACAATCATCCTGGAACACCCGATTGCAACAGACCCCATCCCTGATCAAAGCTCCTCCACGGACAGCAATGCCTGTCGCCTCTTCCTCCAATTCCATAGCAACTTTTTTCAGGCTGGGACAAACGACTCTACATCTCATGCGAGGCAGACGCTTGCTCCAATTCTTCCCGGGTCCTATACTGGCTCTCCAGGACAATACCGCATCAGTTCACTTCCCACCTCAAACCACCGACTTCCTCTCACCAACTCCCGTCTCATCTATGCAATCGCCTGCTCGTTCACATCGACGCCCTCGTCCTCCTCCTCGTTTCCACACTGTGTCTCTTCCAGCCCGACAACGTTCTCGCTCACGAGACCGACACTTCAGCGCCAGCCCGCCTGCACATTCTTGATTCCAACCTGCCATCACTCCTCTAGCGATGAGCGCGTCTTCATTTTGGAGTTGGGTCTACACCGAACAGTCCCAACCAGTCATGTGTCTCAACTTGCATCGTTTCCAGCTCCACCAAGCTCTCACAAACTTCAATTCACAGACCCACTCCACAGCAACCTACCAATCCCCATTACACAACTACTGGAGCGCTACCGCACCCACATGAACATTGTCAACACCGTCAACACCCAACTACACCGAGCTTTGGACGCCTTGGACGCACTGGGCCGCCATCCCCCACGAGCCTACCTGCTTGACTCCGCACTGGATCCAGCCAACCGACTCACCCAGTGTTCCCGCCAGCCAGCACTCTGCAACCCGGCGAGCACGTAGCCCTCGCTCCAAACATTCACTATCAACTGCCCACCACTTCCCCACGTCCTATCGTCCTCCAGCACATCTCCACTCAAACCTCTCCCTTCCACCTCCTCACTTCACACAAAGAGCAGCAAACCTCCCCACCACTTTCTCCACTTCGTCTTCACGAGGACCAACAAAACTCACCATCACTTACTCCACTTCGTCTCAACCGGGGCCAGCAAACCTCACCACCACGTCTCCTCCACTTTGCTCAACAGACCACCCCACGACCGGCCACTTGCAACACTCCATCGCAAACCAAGCTCCACTCCATCGCACTCTATCCATCCTTCGCACGGCCAAAAGAGGCGGCCAACAGCGTGCCATCTTCCTTTCTCACCACTGGCAACAAGTATGTCATGCCGACGATGGGGCAGACTTGAGACTCTGCGCGAGCTTCAATGTCTTCGACGCAATACCCTTGCTTCTCGTACCATGACAATGGGCGGAAAGATCCTCCAGCGGACCTCCTGGATTCTGAAATGATTCTGGTAACCATCTTGCTAGCAAGGATGGCTCTGACATTTTTGTATCGTAGGAAACCACCATCAGCTCGACGGGCTTCCAGACGCTTCTGGAAGAAGTCTGCCTGCTCAGATTCTTCAAGCATGTCCCACTGCTGCGGCAGCTCGCCTAGGTGGCGCCGCAGAGTCTCCACAGTGGCCTTACAGCCCTTGCAAATGGGCTTCTGAGAACCCTGCGTGGTCAGGGACAAGCTCTCAGCGTCCAAGGGGTTCTTGCACTGATGGCAACACACTTCAAGCATCTCCTCGTCTGGCAGCGCAAGCGTCTGGGTAGGTTGTGCGGGTACCACAGACTGTGGCACCTGTGAGTCTGACATGGGCTCCACAGTCGGCGCAAGCTGGGTCTCAGGTTGCGCGTCGATAAGGTCCATAGCTGATGAACACCGTTGCAAGGCACAGTACGTCACTAAACCCCTGTTGATGAGTCGAAGAACACGCAGGGCATTAAAAAATCACAAGCTCATGAAAGTCTGGTGGTTGAGCGTTGAGCGGATGACCGCGACATGCTCATCTTGGCCTTTCGGTACTATAGTTTGAGGTATGTATACGCAATATTATTTAGATCGAGAACAATACATATTGTATGAATCTACGGAAAGAATAATGATGGCACGTAGCGACCGCTGTCCGTTAAATATCTTTCGCGCCATTGGTATCTTGCAAACCTGACTGCGTCCATATGACAAACCATCATTTAGAGTCGTGACTGGCAGCATGCAGCAGCCACACGCAGCCACACCCACCGGAATTTGTGGGTGGTTCTACGGGGATATCCTCCCACACCCACCCACAGATTCCCACACTGTGTGGGAGAGTGTGGGAATCTGTGGTTCCACGTGGGCGGTCTCAATCTTCCAATCATCAAATTTCACATGCACACACAAGAATCACGACCGAGGCACGCAAGTACACAGACGTTCGTCTGTTTTGCTGGTGCTTCTGAGCACTTTGTGTCTTGACAGTGCTTTGCACTTTGCCGGTTGTCCGCACTTTGCCGGTTGTCCGCACTTTGGCGGTTGTCCGCACTTGGGCGGCGGCCCTCCCTTTCCAAATGGTTTATATTTTCTCTTTTCTTCATCGTCCTATTTTCAGATCAAAGCGAAAATGTTTGGTGACCAGCCCGCACAATAGTGCTGGTTAAAAACGTTATTGAGATTTTATTGATAATATTATAGAGTATATAAATACAGTAAATAGATCTATTCAGTTATATCTGTGTAGACACTCTCACTATAAGTGTCACCGTAACGGTACTGTTCGGCGCCAAAGATGAGCACTCACATCACACAAGGGCAACGCTGCTCACAATGGCGCGGACTACCGCAAGGGAAGATACTGTCTCTGAATCTTGAAGCCACTGTTTAGATTCTTAAATGCGCCGCAAAAGTTCAGAGATCAGGCAACAGTTGCCCATACCTCTATCAAATGGAACGAGTTGGACGATTCGGTGCATCCCCTTTCTTTTTTACCACCATAAGCTTGGTGAACTCTAGAAACTCACTTTCGCGCGGGCCGCTTCATCACCAATGACTTCTTCGGAGTCTTCGCAGACTGCTTCTCTTTCGTGGTCGGTGCAGAAGCTTTGCTTGAAGAAGGCGCCTTCCTATTGGGAACCTGGTCTGCCTTACCGAGGAGATTCTTCACTGGATCATTCCAGTCCTTCTCAGTAACCGGCTGGACGCCCACCACGATTCTGATCTGCATGGACTTACCCAAGAATCCACCCAAGGTATCCTCCTGGAGGCACACCATCAAGTCCCACCAGGTGGTGTTGGGCTTGTAGGTATAGTTGGCCACTTCTTCACTTTCCAACGCGGCGGTGAAAATCACCCGCTCATCGACCAACTCGCATGTCACCACCTTCAGACCAACTGCAAGGCGTGTCCCCGTAACCAAGGCTGTGAAGCCAAGACTCTTGCAAGTGTAAGCAGCCACAAATTGTGGAACCACGCTAAAATGCTCGGTCTCTTTTTCCTTGATAAATTTCGCATACACTCCCGGTTGTCCAGCCTTCAACAAATAGATCCTAAGCAGATGATCTGGTCAAATAAAAAGCAACATCTGCCGATAATGCTTAATGGGGATTTTCCTGCAGGCTTACTCAAGCATCAAAAACTTCTCTACTTCATACTACTGACTACATCAAGCCTTGCAAGAAACTCTTAGTTGCGGTCCTGTCGAGAAAGCTTTGAACCTCTTATATACTAAGGTGGACTTATAGGGTTCTTTTTTGGTTCCTGAATGGTCAAAGCACCAATGCTCTACTTGCCAAAATGCTCTTACGCTGTTTGGGTGATCAATGTCACCCCAACACAGCCCCCAATATTGTAACAGAGGTCCAGCAAAGAGAGATAAACATTGACTGCAAAGACCGTATCGTGACCGGCAGCGATAGCGCCAACTTAACATGGGCACATATGCCAACACATATATGCGCAACATAGGAGCGAGCCCTAGGATGTCATATATATCGACATTTATTTATAATACTTAATCTGTTTAACAATAAAACACATTGTCCCAAGACAACCACATTATCCCAGAGTCGGTGGCAGGGATTGAAGCCCTGATATATCATGTCAAATTAAAGAACGTATGTTTCAAACGCCTTTATCATATTTTATCTACTCCAGCCAGCAACACCCATCCGCATCCAGCCAAAGCACGTCTGCCCACAGAAGCGTACTCGAAGTTCTTGCTTGGGCGGCAAGTTCTCGGTGACGTCCAGGTTGACTGAATCCAACGGATGAGCAATGTTGGACGCCACAATGCCATAGAAGAAACCCATGGCAAAGAAACTACTTGCAGTCTCTTGGCCCCGTTGCCAAAAAGTGTGACCCTCGTGTTGATACAGTCATCGTTGCATCGTTGCGCGGACGACCGCAGTGCGCCATTGTGTGGATACAGTCTTTATATATCTTCAAGAATGACGCACGAATGCGAATGAATTAATCAATATGAATGTATACAGAACACCGTTGCAAAACAACCAGTAATGTTTGGAAGCGTGCAAACAAACGCCAATCAAGATGCTTCATCGTGCAAACCACCACTCGACATCACCACTCTCCCCCCGGGCAACGGCTTTTTCAATGTGGGCGATTCCACTTCTTGTGCCATTGGCGCTTGTCCACTTGATCTGCACGTACAGAGGATCCGCTCTTAGGCAATCCCAATGTCTGTTCTAGATGTCTTCTACTCACGCCCAAAAGTTGGGCCCGCGAGCGCAAATAATCTCTGCACTGTGTGACTTCTTCGCCCGTAGGTAATCCTGTTGTGGCAGGCGGTGCTTCGGCCTTGGTCTTGGGTCCCATCATGTGAGGTGGTGTGGCGGGAGGTGCTCCCCCCACTCCAGGAGGAGGTGCTTCGGCCTTGGTCTTGGGTCCCATCATCTGAGGTGGTGTGGCAGGAGGTGCTCCCACCACTCCAGGTGGATTGGTAGGAGGTGCTTCGGCTTGGGTCTTGGGTCCCATCGCCTCAAATGATACAGCTTTGGTTGTGGCTGCGGGCACTGCTTGATTCCACTCTCTCTCCTGATTCCACCAGGGTGGCACCGGCGCAGCAACTTTGGTGGCAGCAGGCGCAGTCACGGGCGAGGAGAGCCGCCCACTCTCAGGCAAAGGCACCCTTACTGACGCTGGTGTGTGAAATCTGCAACAAAAATGTCCAACATTACTGAGTCTGATTGTTTTGCCTCCCACTTGTGTCCGACCCACTCGAAGCTGGCAACCTTCTATTTACACAAGATTTCGATCTACAAGATTGAGGGGTTAACCAACCCTGCACAAAACTCTCATTCCTATTGAAAGCGCGGACAACCGCAATGACGAAAAGCGCGGACAACCGCAATGACGAAAAGCGCGGACAACCGCAAGGAAACTTGCCATGTAGAAACTCCAGGTGATGGACGCGCAACATTCATTGTCTAGTTTTTGTTTTGGAATCATTGATATACCTACATCACACGTAGCCAACCTACTATGAGTAAACGCATCTGCAGCTCACTCATTTTTGCAGCCATGACGTGCCCTGGATAAAGCAGATCTCCTAGGTCAAGCAGACCGAGGATGTCCCCGATCACCCCGTTTTGAAATATGATCTATAGTTGATCACACATCAGAAAAACCCCTCATCTTCCAACAGCTCAACGTGCAATATGCCACGTAGCGGCACTTGCTGCAACCGTTGCTAAAGCGCTTCTTGAGTGCTGCAGGCACAGTCTTCAGGATCTTCTTCTTCAGATCACCCTTGGCCACGCGAGTGACGGTAGCTTTTGCCTTGTTCTTGCTCTTGTTGGTCATGGCTGGGCTCGCTGAAGGCTTCTTCATTAATGCCTTCGTTTTTGGCGCTGCCTTGGTCTTGCAGCAGCCACCTCCTCCAACATTTGCAGACTTCTGGCCTGCAGGTTTCTTCATGGCACCTAGGTTCTCCAAGCAAGGTTTCCCTTCGGCCGCACGAGCTGAAGCCATTCTGGCCAAACTCTGTTCCAAAGGCACGGATGCGCTGCGGCTCACATCATTCACATTGCTTGGGGTTGGCTCCACCTTCGAAGTTTCTGGTTCAGGTCGATGTTCTTGAGCAGGTGCGTTCTGCGCAAGCTCAGCCTTGGCCAACTGCTCAGGATTCCGCGCCGGCGCAGACTCAGCAGGAGGCGCAGGCTCAGCAGGAGGGTGTTTGGCTCCTGAAGGCTCAGCCACTTGTGGCGCGTCTTCCAAAGCCAAGACAGATGAAGCTGCTTCCAGGCTCCCTGAGGAGTTGCGCGGCTCAACAAATCCTCCAAGGGTTTTTTCTTTGGAGGGAACAAGGTCAACGTTGGGGATGTGTGGCCAAATGCGTTCCCAGCACCATGGGCCATCAAGCTAGCTACCATTTATTCTTGATGAGCCTGCAAGACATGGCTTTGGAATGGTAGCGATGCAGTGCTGCTGGCATTCCTGCTGCGATACGGAATCTGCGTCGCAATTAGACGCACCTTGTCCATGTCGCATCGGGGCAGAGTAATGATGGTGCCATCTGGCGGAAAAGCCTTGCTCCTCACTGCATCTGGTGCCATTCGAGGGTCTGGAGGCAGCTGTAGCAAATATTTGTCATCTGGGATTTGCGCAGCCAAAGACTTTCTTTGGTGCATTACCTGCTGGATCCGACCTTTGCAATTTAGAAAGGCCGTGCGCAGATCCACAAAATTCTCAAGCAAACCCTGCACCTTATCTGCGGTCTCCCTGAGCATGACCACCGCGCAGATGGTGCCCTGAGTAGTCTCTGATGGGCAGCGTAAGCCCAAAGCGTGGAGATGATCCACCAGCGCAACGAGCGCAGCACTCCCGTTGCCGTGCTGTGAGTACATCTGGTCCCACAACTCCGAGGACACATAGTAAGGGAAGTGCTGCCAATCCTGCATGGGCAAACGAGCTTTGCTTGGGCCCTCCTTCCCTTTGTTTGGCTCCTCCATCCCATGAACGCGCGCGACCCAAGGGCCGGACTTGAACAGAAGCGCGGACTACCGCCAGAACAAACATAACCCGACCGCCGCAACAAACGTAATCAACCCCACACTCCCCAAATGCGCGGACAACCGCCTGCAACAATGCATCTGAGAGCGGACAACCGCTTGCAAAAAGACATACTGAAATTCTTTCAAAAAAGCTTGCAAAGTGAATCAGTTAACCAAATACAAAAATGATACAGAAAACCATTCAATGCTAAGTTCTATAAGTTCAAACTAACTAAAACGTGTTCAAGCTACTAACTAAGTTAGAAATTAGATAAGTAGAGCAAGTAACTATGTTATATCCTAAGTTACAGTATGTTATAACTTCCATAACTAAGCGGGGTGACTTTGTACACAGTCAGTCTACTACCCGGCGCCTATTATTATTCCAGCCTACTGCAGCCTGCGTCGTTGATGAATCGTCAATGATTGTTGACTCCCCTGGCCCTGGCAACCCTGACCGCCGAGTCCGTAGACTCCGGTCCAGGGCGGCGGGGAGTAGGTCGTGACATCGTCGAGGTAGCTGCCATGGCCCCCGGTCCCAGCAATTGACTTTCGAACTCAGCAGGCAGACGCCGATGATGTTCGTGGACGGCTTGCCAAGCCCTGTCCAAGTTGACTCGTGTGGGGGCAGGGTCCGGCGAGACTTCCAAGGCAGCTGTCACCTCTGCCTTGCGGACATTTTTAAAGTCAGCAACCCGATCAAAGAAATCGCGCAAAAATGCCGAAATTTCGTCAATTTGCCCCTCGGTGATACCCAAGTCAGCGCGGAACTGCTGGTCCTCCAAATTGTCAGTAACGTCGTCCCAAGCCACCACTGCATTGAGGGCCAATGCAGTCAGAGTCGCAGCACGTTCCAATTGATTCAACGACTCCATTATGGTTTAAAGCCCGCCGACGCTGCCTGAGCCTAAGACGCAGCAGCTGCGAAAGATGATATTGCCGGCGCGCGCCTGCGACGACGAATACATTATTACTTAAATGCTACATCGCGCCCGGCGCGCGCCATTGAAAAATGTAGGCGCGCGCCCGGCACGCGCCCGGCAATTGAAAAATGTATTCGTCGTAGGCGCGCCATGGCGCGCGCCCGATTATTCAAATGCATTCGTAGGCGCCCGGCGCGCGCCGAAAAATGTATTCGTGGGCGCGCCTGGCGCGCGCCACTGTCAAATTTGTGGGCAGGTGGACCGACAGTGTCGTGTGTGGGAAGCGACTAATATTAAAGACTAATTAATGGCAACCCAATGGCAACAAAATGCAACCAAAGGCAACCAAAATGCAACTAAGCCAACCAAAAAATTGACAACCAGGATGCAACCAGCCACAACCAAAATGCAACCAGTGGCGACCAAAATGCAACCAGTGGCAACCAAAAATGCAACCAATTGGCAACCAAAATGCAACCAGTGGCAACCCAAAATGCAACCAATTGGCAACCAAAATGCAACCAGTGGCAACCAAAATGCAACCAGTGGCAACCAAAATGCAACCAATTGGCAACCAAAATGCAACCAGTGGCAACCAAAATGCAACCAGCGGCAACCAAAATGCAACCAAAATGCAACCAAAAAACCACTTAACAACAGCAAGCTTCTGAAACGCTGCGATACACGTTTTGGTGCAAAAAAAGGCCACTGCATGGAAAAGCCGGGGGGATTTACCTATGATACGGCCGAATCGTGGGGATTTGACCCTGGAACGATTCTTTAGGATTGCTAGTAGGTTGGAGGCTGTCGCTATTAGGTTAGAGGCCATCGCTATCAGGTTGGAGGCCGTCGCTATTAGGTTAGAGGCCATCGCTATTAGGTTGGAGGCCATCGCTAGCAGGCTGGAGGCCATCGCTATTAGGTTGGAGGCCACCGCTAGTAGGTTGGAGGCCATCGCTAGTAGGTTGGAGGCCATCGCTAGTAGGTTGGAGGCCATCGATATTAGGCTGGGGGCCATCGCTAGTAGGTTGGAGGCCATCGCTATTAGGCTGGGGGCCATCGCTAGTAGGTTGGAGGCCATCGCTATTAGGCTAGGTTGGAGGCCATCGCCATTAGGCTCTTTGCCCAGAAATCTAAAACGACTTGAGGTCACCCAGAGCTCAGGCGGCACTCCGCTCAACGAATCGGAAGGACGTTGAGATTTGTGCCGCGCAGTCGAGTGACCGGTTGCTGATTGGTTCTGCACTTTTGGCCGCCGTCAATGGCCCGGAGTCAATAGATTTTGGTTTTGCAATCATGAGGCGGCCGGGAAGTTGTAGCCATGTAACCAACCCCTTCAATTGAGAATGACTTGACTGCAGGAAGGCCTGCTTC